AGAAATTGTAGCAATACTCACAGTACTCAGTATCTGACCTGAACACTACTTAGTAACTTTATATATTGACAACCAGACAGTAATAAATGGTATTCTCAAGATCCAGAAGGAAAATCTAGAAAAATTATAAAAACATAAAAAAATTTAAATCTTCTAAAAATAATAGATCTGTGTAACTAAAACCAAATAAAACTCTCTCTATATAAAATAAAGGGATATTTAGGAATCAAATACAATAAAAAATAGACCAACTAATATATATTGAGAAAATGAGACTTGATAAGAAAGTGATTGAGATATTAGAAACATAATATAGTTCTCAAGAAAAAGTATCACAATGGAACAACTCACTATAGAAGTTTATATAAGGCTAATTACAAAAAAGTATATTCAGACAATTTATCTGACTAAATATAGACCTCTTAATCAAATAAGATGCAAATTATAATAAAAGAATAATAAAAGAAATATATTGGTAGACAACTACTACCCTACTACAACTAATTAAAATAAGTGATCACCATATTAATTAGAAAGATCAGAAATTCAAAAAATTCTATCTCAGCACTTAAAATGATGAACTGCCAATCAAAAGCAAACTTTATGCTAGAATCACATTTTTATACAAAAACAATAAATATTTTAGATACTATGAACTAGAAACTAGCATATACTTTTTTATCTATAATTAACTCAGATTTAAAACTGAAGAGTTCCTAATCAACACTATAACTACTCATGTTAAAAGCTATATAACAAAAGAAGAGGAAAAGAAATTTAACAAGCAAAATGAACTGGAAATACAAAGAATACTTAACAATAAGTATTAAAAGAGCTTTCTTCAAAAAACTAGTCTCCTATATTCAAATTGCCATTCTTAATAGGCTGAACAACAAAACATATCTTATTTAAATATATATCAACATAATCAACTTCTTATACAAAACCTGGATAGAAAGATATGAAATATTTTAGAAGTGGAAGATCACTATGACCATTATAAAAAAAAAGAAAAGACAAGCAAAATATAAGATTAAAAAGAAAAATCTGATATTCAATCAGAGAAAAAGACATATAAAAGATCAATATATAAATCTAATCAACAATTTCATAAATAAATAGCTCACAAATATTACAAAAAACTCTTTTATTTTTGAAATTTATTTCAGTATTAGTCCAATTTTGATAAGTTAGCCTCTTTAAAATGGTTGATAACAAGCCGTAAGGTAAGTATCTCAAGAAGAAAATTTTTCTATCAAGTTTTGTTTAATAGTAAATAGATAGTATGTTCTAGGTTAGACACTTTATATAATTATGTTGCAAATATACAAATAAAACAATACTGAGCCAGTGTTTAAAAAATATTATAGATATTGAATTTAATTTTTTTAAAGAGTATACAAATAATTTATCTATCTAGGTATTATAAAATATATAGTATATCACAATATTTTAGTTTATGTTATAAAATTTTATTATATTATTTTAGTATATATTATAAAATTTGAATTACAATATATTAATCTATACTATAAAATTTTAATATAATATATATTAAAATAAAATAATTTAAACTAAGTAAAAAGAATATAATTTATTATTTCTATTACTTATATATTTTATTAATTAATAAATAATAGTTTTATTTAATTATAGATATTATAAAAAATAGCATATTTAATTTAATAATTAGTTTGTATAATATTTATTATATAAAAATATTTTTATTGATTATTTTAATTATATATAAAAATTTATAATAAAATTTTTTTAACTTTTTGATTAATAAATCTTTAATATTATTTTTTAAATAACTTGATAATTATTTTTAAGAATTTATATTATATATTATTTGTTAATTATAAATTTTTTTTATTAAAAATTGATTTTAAATAATAAAAAATAATTAAATAATATTTTTATTATCAATAGTAAAAAAGTTTTTATGAAAAAAAAAATTCATTATAAAATTTTTATTTTTAAAATAATTAAAAATATAATTTTTACAATAAAAATACTTATTATCCTTTATAATTAATTATTTGTATATTTTTAAAATTTTTATTATCATAGTTTTTTAAAAATTTTTATTTCTTTTAACTAGATTTTAGATTTTTAAATAATATAAATTTTATTTAAAATAATTAATTAATATAAAATATATTAATTTTTATGATATTAATAAGCTTATATTGATTATAATCATATATTTAATAATATTATTAATGATAAAAAAATATAATTTATAGAGTTTTTTTTTTTTTAATTAAAAAATTTTTAAAAGAAATAATTAAAATATTAAAATATAAATAAAAAATCATGTAATATATTAATATTGATTTTTTATTATATTTTTTAAATAATAAAAAACTTTTTAAAAAAGTTGTTATTTTTTTGATTTAATTTTATTTAAATAAATTTTTAAAAAGTTTTTAATTTTAATTAAATAAACTTTTTTGTAATATAGTGTCAACTTTTAAATATAATGAGTAAATTTATATATTATTAAAAAAATTATTAAAAAAATATTCTAAATAGATAAATTTTTTTTGAAAAAAATTAAAGATTTAAATTGAATTTTTAAAAAATTTTAAAATTAGTTCTATCTATTTATTTTTTTTTTCTAATATATTAATTCAATGAAATATTATTTTTAATAGCTTTTTATTTAAGTTGTCAATTAATTATTTTTTGAAATAATTTATAATAATAAATTATAATAATAATTTTAATATATAAAGATTATTAGAATTAATTTATCAAAAAAATAAAATATTATTCTTTAATTTCAATTTAAAATATTTTATTTAGTTTAAACTAGTTTATTAAACTCTTTACATTTTTAAGGTGATTTTTTTTCTATATTGTTTATAGCCAGATAAAAATTAAAATAAATATAATATAGTTAAAAATTTATATAATCAAAAATTTTTAAAAATTATTAAAAGTTATTATAGAAAATTTATAAAATTTTAATTAGATAATTGTTAAGAAATTTAATTTGAGCTTAAACTTTGATATTCTTAAATTTTCTTTTTTAAAAACAATCATTTTACTATAAAAATATTAATTTTTATAATAAAATAAGAAAAAAATTTCAAGGGCATCAAAATCAAAAATCAAAATTGAATTCTCAACATTTATCTTATTAAAATAATTTAAAAATTTTTGATCTGATAAATTATTGAGCTATATTATATTCTCTTAATTTTTTATATTAAAAATTTCTTTAAAAAAATATAACTTAAAAATTGATTCCCCTCTAAGTTTGTTTGTAATGATTGAAAATTTTAGAAATTAATAGTATATAATAATTAACTAATTTAAAAATTTTTAAAGTTAAAATTGAATTTTTTTAGGCCAATCTATGACATATGATTTCTACTGTAAGTTATCGGAATAAATTTTTTAAATGATCGATATACAATATTTTATGTATGGAAAGTGAAAAATATAAAAATAAGAATAAGAATAAACATAAATAAATAAAAATAAAATAAATAACACATTTTTAATAAACAAGAGATTTGCTATTTTGAAAAAAAAAAAGTATTTTTTTTATTTTTTATTTTATTTTGGACACAAACGTTTGAAAATAGCGAATAATGACAATATAACAAGTCATTATTTATTAATATTAATAATTCGATTTCACAAGATTCATTAGTTGCGTCGCGCGAACCGTGATACCTCAATGACACGATAAATCATATGCTTTCGAAACTCAATGAATTTTCGACGATCTGTAATAAAAAAAAAAAATTTTTTTTTTTTTGTTAAATGCTGGTCGTGAAAAACCAAATATTTGTTGCCCGGTGTGGAGCGCAGACACCACAGCCCAGGCACCATTGATATTTCGGTTATTGTGTCACAACCAGATAATATCGATAAGCGACAGCATTGGTTACATGCGTACTTATTGCCATCAGTAAACCGATTTCGTTTTTTGTCCAGTTACGATCAGGAAAAGAAAGATGTTACATAAATACACTGCAAATTTGATTTGACCACAGTTATAGATATTGATTGTAAAAGGACACCATATTTGGATTAGGCTTTCTTGGAGTGTTATTTTATCTGAATTATGCATATTTTTTTCGCACATTAATGATCAGTTTTACAATGCATACATGTATATTTACTGCATGCGTATAAGTGTTTGTCACATAGCGTTAAAATTAGTGAATACGTACGTATACATTACGTAGTGTTTGTTGTCACCCTTGGTTTCTGGGATACACGTTACAGTAAATGTTTTTTTTTTACTTAATAAATTGTCGCCTGATTGTGCTTCGGACGCATTACGGCTCCCAATTTTCTGATTAACGATATACTCACATAACATAAAGTAAATGTAAATTAGAAATAACAAAGGTTTTTAACGTGGAAACGATTTCTGGAGTCACCGTCGAAAAGCGTAAGAAAGATTTCTAGAAACCATTTCTAGCCAACGTAGAAATGATTCCGTTTCTTCATATGCTATATGCTAAATTTGGGCTGTATCCATGTCAGTGGTCTTTTCTGGTGATCGCATGATGGACCCGACCTTCGATAAATGAATGTTATACGAGCTCCCAAAAATGGGGTTTAATCAATACATCAGGTGCGCACAACTTTGATTATGATAAAGAAACATGCACAAGAATTCTATGATTAGCCATACTAACCAATTTGTCTAGAAGCATCTACGTGCAGTATAATATAAGATCGGAGTTTGTTATTTTGAGGGAAGGTTCATACACTAGGGTTTCGAAAATACTTTACAAAGTTCAAAATAACATAAAATTTGTGTTATAATATACTAAATAATATACACGCTAAAAAATCGAAAGATAACCGATGAACGAACCTAAATTCCAACTTTAAATTAATAAGTCAGAAAGCATGGGAAGAAATCCCTGTCCCTGAAATGTAAGTCTTGTGTCGAGTTCCATTAAGGCGTAACTAGAATTACTAAATTTACTTTCAATTTATCATAACTCGAGGCGCGTGAAAAAGCAATGAACATTTATCGATTTAAGACTAAATTGAACCCGCGACCTTCTGTATTGGAAGTCTTGATGCGTACACAAAAACAACCATCCGGTGCATATGTATAGCATAATTCCTTCTTATGTGTCTGAATACTCATCTCAATATAAGATCACACCAAAATAGAATGTTAGTTGATGCAATATACAGTATCGTATACAGTATTGGAATTTAGGGTACGTTGAACATTTGAATGGACTTTTTATTATTCGTCATATCCTGTGTGTAAATAACTAGGCATAATACCAAGAAGGCTGAAACTTATTGTGCACATGTGATACCAACAAATTCCTTGAGGAGTAATTTTTTTTGACGATTATTTTCACGTAACCAATAATAAATTCACCTTCTAGGTTGTCAAATGTTGAGATAGCACTCTTTAGAGACTCTGAACATACTTATATGTTTTGAGATTAATCCAATTGTTGGGTACTGGTTAAGAGTTGTCGAAATTTCTGTGAACAAAAAAAAAAAAAAAAAATGAATTGCAATTCTTGGATTGACGAAGAGGTACCCTAAGCTAAATTTAATAGAATTTTATGCCACACCTAATATTCTAATCATATCTTATGTTCAAATATAACATTACCAATTTAAGGTCGGAGAATGCTCTACCACCCCTATCGCGGATCCAGAAGCTTCCAGTAGCGCGTCACCCTCTGAAAACCACGAGCAACTACAAAATTTGGTCATGATAAGGAAAATGCAAGAATTTATTGATAATGTTCTTGCTCAGGAAATGGGTTTTCCCTCCAAACCTGATGTGTTAAATATTGAAAAGGCATGCGAAAATATTCCCTCCGATATGCATAGTACTAATGTCGAATATGCAAATGAATTCATCGAAAACATGCAGAACAGCAAAATGTCACAAAAGGATTATCTTAGACTCATGTTATTATTAGAAAACCATCAAACCATTTTCTCCCATGATGACTTGCGCAACGTGATAACGGAACTTTGCAAACCTGCTGCATATAAAGAAGATCCCGTTGAAACGACCACAATATTGTTGGAATTAAATTTGCGTTCCTTACTATCGGCCATTCGAGCATACAGCTCTGTAGAAACTCTCACCCGCAAGTTCCGTGAGGAGATTCTCGCAAAGCTAGCGGAATTTGCGGATCTTCATTATAGAAACTCGAGCAATGCCGTTAACACAATCAGGAAAACGAATCCAGAGTTGGCTTCCAGGTTTTTCGAAGAAGTTAACACAGATGAAATGAACTCTAAGGTGACAAAGCTTTTAAGAAACAACAATATAGATTTCCTACTAACTGTACTCCACGATACGGTTCGCGACATGGACGATGATGATGTGACCTCCGAAGCAACATGTCGAGCGGCAACGCTAACAATAAATAGCGTTTTAGAAACGAATAAAAATGGTC